TTTTTTATCACTTTGCATGAAATGATATATTTTTACCAAGCAATGGATTTCGAAAATCAAAATACATCTTTCGATGTCTACAGCCGCCTGCGTGGCGCAGTGGTTAAAGCGTCTGCTCGAGAGTCGTGAAGTAAGGAGTCAATCCTTACGTCCCGGGTTCGAATCCCACTGTGGGACGTGGAGACCGGTCCTTCGGATGAGACCCGTGTCGAAGTAGGTGCTGGCACGAAAAAGGATCCCTCCCTGCTCAATGGCCCTCAGTGCCAAGAATAGGACAAAATTTGCAGCTCTCGACCAGCAAGTGGTGGCGTCTCCATGTGAGTGAAAAATTTTCGTGAGAGAGACGTTTAACAATATACACAATCAATCAATCGAAGTGTACAAATTCTCTGTAATTTTGTGTGTGTGTGTGTTTTAAACTTGAAAAGCATTTATTTCAAAAGATTAGTCAAACTGTTTTTGTAACTTACAATGATATAGTGGTATTTAAAAAGAGGGTTGTTTTGATGTATTCAATAGGTATACACGTATACATCAATACACTAAAAATTGTACAACAAGTATTATTTAGAGAACGAGACGGGTTCTGTATCGTAGATACAAATAAAAACATGCATATTTTACAGTTGAAGGCTTGTTGTGGTTTTGTCCCTGGAAAATGTTTCAAGTCTCTTTTCTCTAATATTTTGTTGTACATGTATTTCAACCTTTACATGTAATTTAGCTGCAGATCTGTAGCGTTATGGTTTTATATACTTGTCTTTGACCATAACGCTACAGATCCCGTAATGCGAAAAAGGTGCAATTTACGGCGCAATATTTCTTGCGAGCTTTTGGGGAGAATTTTTCCTTTTTCTAGCATTGGTTAATCAAATACCTTTCATTCCCTTATTCTAGACACATTCTGTAGCCAATATATATATATATTTTATCTACCTCCCAACCATTTATAGTTGTCTCTACAGGCAATAAACTCGCTTGAAGTGAATTTTTAGCAATCTAACATAGAATTTCAGTCAAGTGAGTTTATCAGTTGTAGAGATAGCTGCAGATCTGTAGCTCTCCGAAAAAAAATATTGATAGACCGGAGAGCTACAGAGCCACCCATTGAAAAAACTGTATATTTATTGTGCACAAAATAATGCGCTCGGTTCTCGATTTATTTCTCCATGTTTTTAAAGCTGTAATCTCAAAATATTACTAACCGTGTGTTTCTAACATATTCTTTGACTCTTTCCACAACAAATTAAATATTCCTCATAATTGTTGTTAATAATCCTCCTGGCCCTGATATTGCAATCATCGGACATTTCGCTTATTTATACTGCCATTTTGGTTTCAAAGATAATTCGGTCCAATATGCTTCGTTCAGATGTCAACTACAAGAGAACTTGATAGAGGAGAGCGTAATTTTTTGAAATTTTCCATTTTTTCCAATCGAGGTAAGAATTTGGAAAAATTAATCAAGAATCAAGCGCACTTTTTTGAGCGCAATAAATATACAGTTTTTTCAATGGGTGGCACTGTAGCTCTCCGGTCTATCAGTATATATTTTTTCAGAGAGCTACAGATCTGCAGCTATTGTAGAGACGACTATAAAGGGTATAGGTAGATGGATAAAATATATAGATTATTAAATAATGTGTTTAGAATTAGGGAGTGAAAGGTAGTTTATTGACCAATGCTGGAAAGTGGAGAAATTCTCCCAAAAGTGCGCAAAAAAATATTGCGCCGTAAATTGCACATTTTTTGCATTATGGGATCTGTAGCGTTATGGTGAAATCAAGTATATAAAACCATAACGCTACAGATCTGCAGCTACATGTAACTGTGAGATTGACATCGAAAGAAAACTCGTCTAACTTTTATGGTCTGGAACCTTGCCACTTGTTTGTTTAGGTACAAATGTTAACTATAACACTTTTATCATGTTAAAATATGCCATATTTTTTTCAAAATTTATGACATGTTGCCATGGTAACAATGACACATAACAACCAATTTTTTGCATAACTTTAAGTAACAATGTCAGAGACTTTGAAGGAGTTTTAAGAAATTCAGAGACAGTACATACCACATGTACAGCTCCTATATAAATGTTCAGGTCATTATAGATGATATGGAGCTTAATAACTTTTCATGATAGCTACATGCTCAATGTTATTGCCATGGGTTTACCTTACAAGCATTCTGAGATTATTGCATAACAATGCATGTCCCCTACCGGGTTCCCCCTTTTCTCTAGAATGTCATTTTATAATATGCAAAGGTTATCACCAAGATAAAAGTCTTTGATGTTAAAATTTTTAGGTTATGCATGACTTTAATCTAAAAAAAATTAAAACACATAACGGAAATTCAACTTATTTTTTCAACATCTTTTGGCTTCATGTTTACCATGTTGACCTTTGGAATTTAGCGCAGCACGAACCCGATCTTAAAGAATTATGAAAAAAAATAAAACGCCATAAATCTGTCAAAAATCAATGAAGCGTAACGACATTCAAACTTAATCTGTAACTCACCAAGATACACTCACAAGCCGAAATTCAGGCTCAATATCTTCAAGCGTTCAGAAAATAAGTGCGGAAACCCAAGTAGGACAGACTTACACACAGACATGGGGACAGCTAGTCCGACGGACAGACTCAGAGGAAACCTATAGCCTTCCAGTTTCACTGGTTGGTGACTAATAAAGTACAAAAAATGTACTGAGGCTCTTAAATCACTGTGGTCTGTCAAACACTGAATAATCTTTACAAACATATATGAGTTCGTGTCAAAAGTTTTTTTCTTTGTTGCTATGGGGAATTTTCTGTTGCTATGGCGATTAGTATTTGCAAAATATTCCTGAATTCATAAAGAAGTCTCAGAAATATGTTTTTACTTTAAAAATTGATTTTGTTATCCACCGATAAGATTAATTAAATTCCTTAAATAACTCGCATATTTGACAATTTGTCTCTTTCTCTTAATCAAAGCATCCATTTTTGTTGCTAGGCAACCGATTGTAAATATAAAAAAACACACGTTTTTGAATTTAAATTCCAAAAAGGATATTCCTCTGCCTTTATGTAAAATATACCATACTCTTGTATTGTGCCAGAAGTTTGAGATATATGGCCTTGAAAATTGTCCAAATTAACAAAAATCCTGAATCAGCCAAAAATGCAAAACATGCATGTCTTCCATTGCCCGTAAAAGAAATATCTTAAAATAAAAATTCTATGTATTACATGGTTTTATCACTTGAAATGTTTATCTTTATGGTAACATTATTTAAGAACCCCTCTGGTAATATTCGCATTCAATTTCAAGCCTCTAAGTTTAATGATATATTTGTCCATCCACATTGAAAATTGATCGGTTGCTAGGGAAAATTTCTTTGGCCATGTTTCCATAGTAACCAGGACCCAAAATAATTTTCATTTTACATAAGTGGTTCATAGTGTAAGAGAAACCTATGTGTGTAAAATCATCCAATTCTGAGAACCCTCATGATTCACTTTTATACACATATTGTCTGATTCTTACAGAGACCCATACTTAATGTTATATCGAACTGACACCATGATGCATATTTTGTACCCTTAAGACAGCTGTGGCGTTCCATAAAAACTTAAGATACCATCGTTGGATTCAAGATCTCAGCATTTATTTAAATTGACAACTGAAAAAAAAATTTTTTGTTCTAATATGTGTTGAGTTTTGACACATTTCTTTGAAATGAAAGCATACAGGTGTACTTAGTATTTTTGTAGAGCACATAAAAACATGAAGTAATGTAAATTAAAACAAGATGTGTATGTGAAACACTAATACCCCCGTTTGGCAACATAGCGAAGGTTATGCTTTCTCAAATGCAGATCAAATATGTTGGTACCAATTAAGGCCTTTTTACATGAATATGAAACGCTAGCTACACCTGTTCCAGGGTTATGACCAAGGTTAACATTTTATAATACAGGACAAACTGCATATCAAGGTGAAAGGGTCAAGGTTGTTGGGTTCTAAAGAAATGCTTTGTCTCAAAAATTAGTATGGGAAGTATGAAAGCGCTGGCTTTTACCGTTCAAAGGTTATGACCAAGGTTAAAGTTTGTAAAAAGGTCATACTCTGTGGTCAAGGTCAAAGGGTCTAGGTTCTTGATATCCAATGAAAAGTCTTGTCACAAGGATTACACATGTGAAATAAGAAAGCTGTAGCCCCTACTGTTCAACAGTAAAGGTCAAGGTTAAAGTTAGTAAAAAGTAAGTCAAACTCCAAGATCAAGGTCAAAGTTTTTGGTATCAAATGAAAGGTCTTGTCACTCACAGGGATTAAATCTGTGAAGTATGAATGCCCGAATCCTTCAAAAATATGCCCTAAGCCCGGACCCTTAAAAATATGGTCAATCTTGTATTTTTAAAGTAGGTCAAACTCCAAGGTCAAGGTCAAAGGGTCAAAGTTCTTGGTATCCAATAAAAGGTCTTTTTATCAGAATTATATATGTGAGGTATGAAAGCCGTAGTATATATATATATGTGAAGTATGAAAGCCGTAGTAGTTATTGTTCAAAAGTTATATCCAAGGTTTAAGTTTTTTCATAGGTACGAAATTCTCCAATGTCAAGGTCAAAGGGTCAAGGTTGTTGGTATCAAGTGTAAGGTCTTTTAACAAACATTAAATATGTGAAGTATAAATGTACTGGTGTCTACTGTTCAAAAGATATGGCCAAAGTAAAATTTTAAAATTTTCATGTAAAAGTGGATCAAACTCCAAGGTCAAGGTCAAAAGGTCAAATTTGGTGGTACCCAAAGAAAGGTTTTGTCACAAGGAATACACATATGACATATGAAATTCATAGCTCCACTAAATCCAAAGTTATTGGCAAGGTTAAAGTTTTTGCAAACAAAAAGACAAACAGAGAGACAGACAGACAGACGGACACAACAAAAACTATATACCCCCGAAACTTCGTTTACGGGGGCATAAAAAAGGTATTTGATGAATGTACTCACCCGTCAGACATTTCGTACCATTAACACCCTCACTACACCCGTTGAGACATGTTCCGTTTATATGGTGACAGGTTTCTCCATTGCTACAGTTACCACAGGATACGGAACATTCCAGACCGTATGTTTTTTTGCTGCATTCTGTAAAAGGGGAAACATACACTAATACTAATAACATTGTACGTGGAAAACAATTCATAAACATTTTAATTTTGAATTCATATAATTGCACTTTAAAAAAATCTTTTGTTTAACCAATGTTTTGATTTGCAGAAACATTGAAAAAATGTTGACAGACCTTACCATTTCTTGTATGGAAATTGAAAAACACCTAAACCATTTCCCATAAATAGTAATAAAGGTTAAATTATTAACAGTTAAGATATTTTAATACAGTTGAATATCTCCGATTCAATTATAATGAGGAGTAGTGGAGTCCATTAAATAACAGGGTATGTACTTGATTAAAATACTGTGAAGTTTAAGAGTTGTAAAAATATTGAAATTATGTTAATGTGTCATAGTAGATCACAGAAAAATGATAATGAAAGAAAAATAAGAACATAATTTTTTGCAACATTCAAAATGCAATATTTACTGCCTGACGTCACGGCGTCAGGCTGTATAAGGATTGATATTTCCGAGGTGCGAAGAGAAGAGGTCACAGTTAGAGTTAGCCAGCAAAATTTTGTGCATGCTGATTATCACTGGAATTTGTTACCTCCGTTTCAGCAATCCATTTAGCAGAAAAAAATAACCGTCTTACAGATACAATATATTGATGTGTTTATTTCCTTTACTTTTTGGCATGTAGCTATTTATTTCATGCGATTTCATATACGGACTTGTCCGTTTGACCTTTTTTCTGCGTTTCCGTACTATTGGATGAGTCCATTTGTCTTCTAGGTAAGGGGTGTCACAATCATTTTGCGCCAAATGTCACGTGTACATCTTCGCGCCCTTTTCCTGGATGATTCTACCGCACTGAATGGGAATGAAAACTTCAAGTCTGTCCTTTTTTTCGGAATTTCGATTTGGGGAAATAACATATCGGTGATATTGTGAAAGAAGTTAGAACTTACTTCATTTGTAGTAAATAATATGAAACGGAAAAGGAGTTCTTAAGAGGAAACTGGCCAAATACACATATTTCTGATCATATCTCGCCCGAACTCGCAGCCCCCCCCCCCCAGTTTTCAGAGATAAAATTCTTTCTCCTATGAAACACAGAAAATAGACTTAGCAAAAGTGTCCCTCCTATTCCTATGTCCTATTCCAGGATTGAGGAATATAAGGAATCACCGTCAAGTTCGTTGGGTCATTTATGCATAACGGGCTGTTTCCAACAATAGTTGATGCTCTGGCATACCCAACAATCTAGTACTTAAACATATTCTGCATGTTAATCATAATGATTCATTTCTTGTAGTTATCATATTCTCAGCTGTCTTCCTGATAGTCTGCAGTTGAATCTAATTCAAAATTCTAATTTTAAAATTAATATTCATTAGTTCATTTTCCCTTATTTAATTACTACATCTTCTTAAACCATTTATAGAGTCGCGAAATGAGGAGCTGAGCTTTACGTCGCGTTTTCGAATCCACTGCAGGATGTGGAGATCGGTCCTTAGGATGAGACCGTTTAAAACCAAGTCCCGAGTCGCAGTAGGTGTTAGCACGAAAAAGATTACATAAAACTACTCATTGGTCCTGAGTTCCAAGTATTTGTAACATTCCACAGTCGTCCTTATACAACAAATGAAAAACAGATCAAAACTAATTTTTAACACATACAAAATATACCTGTTAAATAAAATCTCACTGTTCCTTTTCCATCAGACATGTAGCAACAGGGGAGGGGGGGGGTTGTCTCCCCCTTTTTTCCCAACCTTACTTTTACTTATATATAGGAAATGTTAATTGAAAGGTTGGATCCCCCTGTATATAACAATAAATTTATTAAAGGGAAATGCTAAAACAATTGGCACAGAAAGAACTTGACACTGAAAAAAGAAGGTCACTACCCCCTACCCCCCCCCCCCCCCCCCCCTAAATAGGATTTTCAGCTTTGGGCATATTCTTTTTTTGCGGATGAGTGAAAAAAAAATTCTTAAGCTGCCCCCCCCTTCAAAATCGAGGCTCTCCATTGCTTTCATAAGTAGCAAACAACTTAAAATTAATGCATGATGTTTTGTTCGACGTCTTCATAATTTACTCTAATGAAATAATTTCCCCTCACCCCAATGTAAACGTTTATATTTATAACTTATCATGATTATAGGTCCTATAGATATTGATTGCATTAGTCAGGCAAGCTCTTTTGAAAAGCTATTACTTGTAATCATTTTAAAGCGTCTTGTCTAACCTTGACTACAGAAAGGTCCCTGGTACCCTGGCTTACATCCGGGGCACTGGCCTGTGTTTATATCACAGTGTTCCTCTTGACATTTGTCTGGACATGGCTGGGCACAGTTCTCTCCGTAAAACTTCGGGCTAGCGCATCCTTATAAATGAAATATATGTAGATAACAAATAGTATCCAAGCTCATTGGTCCATAGAACAATACAGAATAGGATCAGAGCCAACACGGACATCCAGAACATCAGAGGTGGGATAAGATGCAATGGAGGAGTGAGTATCACCTGCCGACCGGTCACACCGCAATGTGCTCCTTGACATAATTTGTAAATAACGGGAAAAATTCCGTCGTCATTTCAGTGTATAGATATTGGACTAAAAATTAGTGAGTAAAACGCCGGTCAGCAATTGACTCAATGATAAATTCTAAATTCTGACAAGGTCATTGTATCGACCAAATAACATAAACATCTTATAAATTAGTAAAATGTGAAGGTATTTTTAATAGTAAGAAGAAATCGTTACAATATTACTTACCAAAAACTTGAAGTTCGCATAGTTCATTAAATGCATACTGGGAGTAATAACTAGGATACGTCAAATCCGTTCGCCTCTCGTTGTAGTATATGACATATCGTCCATGTACAGAGCAGTTTATTCTCTGATCTTCTGATGGAGTGCCGGCTACTCTTTGAATCTCATGGAAACAGAGATGACTGTTATCTTTAGAAGTAGTATTAGAAACGTAAAGAAAAAATCCTGCCATCCGTTGAACGAAAACGCTTGGACCTGCAATATTTTATTCATAGCTAATAAATAATCTATAATAAAATAAACAAATAAACTACTAAACTCTAGTCTAGCGAATCTACGTATTCAATAATTTGGCGTTTTATTAAAACGCAGAATTAGCATTACGTATACAAGTATGCCACGAATTATTTCAAATGCGAGCGTTCAATATCCAACATAATACCGATTATGCATACATTCACATCTATAATCTATATAATATTTGAAAGGTGAAGGTACATACGAGGTTGATTATCAGTCCTGTAGAATATGTTGATGTGACTAATGCTGACCAATCTCTCCAGATCTACTCTCCACGTTGCTGTCTGTTTTGCATTATTAGATATTGTACACTGGCCTCCTGGTGCTGAGCGGTCTGTATATCGTCCATCCACTGCCTTACCAGCTCCCCAGTAATTATCAGACCATGGATTCTCTTGATATGTAGGCCTCTGCAGGGCTAAATTTTCTGAAACAAATCAAGTGTATTTTTCATCAATAATTACTTTCAAATAATAAAAAAAAAATTCAAAGGCACATGAACCATGAAAATTACAAATTAATATCTATACGATGATCATAAAAATGACTTTACTTTCAGGTAATGTTCTGTCGTATTAAAATAAAAGTATATATATTCAGTATGGGGTAGTTTTAATGAAAATAAATAACCCTTAGGGCTTGGATGAACCGTTTTGGAAACGCATCCACAGGCGCGTTGACATTCTTGTAGCGTCAAGCCGTGTAGGTGAAAGTTTGTTACACAAACTCTTGAGATAACTTATATGGAAATGTTGTGATATTACAACAGGTCTTTGAATAGTTATAGCAACAAAATCCAAAAAAAACTTTAATCTTAAGGCCATATTTAGAATATGCTTGCGCTTCCTCTCCCACCTCAGGGAAATTATCGGGTCGGTAGGTGGGTGGAAATTTTTTTCTAATAAAATGTTAAATATTTTGTTGACGTGATAAGAAGGGACAAGGCCATATATGGATCTAGACTCTTGCAAGACAGGACAAATTCCTGCATGAGGGCACATTCTGCTCCCTTATAATGATACCAAAGCTTCTATAAAAATAACCTTTTGATAAATTGTTAACAACAGACGGACGGACGATCTACGTCTACATATCGCATATAAAATCTGAGCAGATTTCTGAGCAGTAGAAGTAATTAAGCAATCTTACCATAAGCTTCGGAAAATCTACCATATAACAGGAAATGAAAAATGACTAAAATCATAACGTCTGATTAGCCAATAAAATAACGCTTAGATTGTCATCTTTTGGCACATCTCGAAAAAGTAGACCTTCTCATACACTCTATAAAAGAAATAGTCAACAGTATAAAAAAATATTAGACTACTGGTTTAAAGACAGAAACAAGTATCTATATGTATGACTGATAAATCAGGAAAGAATATGACATAACGGAATACCATTCAGCAAATATGACGTCATTAATGTGATGTATTTCTGTATTTTTAACAGAAAAAACCTCAAATTAGCCAAATTCAAGGGTAATTTTCCTTTAGAAAATAGTGTCCACAGTCATCGCCCACTTTCATTTTTTGATATGTTGTAAAAGAAAACAATAAAAAATCACATATCTAAAAATCTTTGTGGGTGATGCCTGTGGACAATATTTCCTGTAAAAAACATTCCATTGAATATTGGTGTTCTCTGCAACTTTTGAAGAATATACGTGAAAATGCACATGTTTATGACATCACAATTAGCATTTAAAAACACATGAGAGAAAAAAAAAATATCTGTATGATTTTTCTGCATGGAATTTCAATGATTCAGAGAGCATTAGTTTTCATCCTTTACAGCTGTTTCATTTTTGTTAGAAAGATTTGTATGGAAACCATTGTTAAACTCAATCTGAGTATTTTAAAAGTTCTGTCTTTTGTAACTGACATTTGTTTAATAATAAAAGAAATTCAAATATGACTAAAAATAAATGTGCATTATAACAATTACGAACCAGAGGTACTGTGAGCAGTGAGCTCACTATATGATACCCCCCGCCTCCCATATGAATATAATGGCAAAGTCCATATTTTGCTATCGGAAACCCAAATTATGTGTCCTATCAAAAAGTAAAATAGTTCCGGATAAGGAATGGGTACCCCAAAGCGTAACAAACGGACAGGCATAACGATTACTCTATACCCTCCCGCTTTTCAAGTGGAGGGTATAATTACAAATTACAATTATATGAAATATTAATTTTGAGTAAATGAAAACACATTTTAGTCCGAATTATCTGACGTTTTCACTTGTTTTCCTTAACAAATAAAATATCAAAACCTACTAAAAAGAGCCTGAAAATTATACTTTGAAAAAAGTATCTCAGCCTGTTCTATTCGCGGGATGCAATTATCTTACCTTAATAGGGAAATCACGTCCACAAAATTTTGCCAGACCAGGAAGTTATGGTGCATTATTTATTTATATGTATTTAACACATGATTTAAGAGAAGTCATCAGGGCTTCAATAAACTGTATGCATGATTGAGTTCCGACTTTTAAATGGCTTGAGTTCAATGTCGTTTAGTTTAAATAACACAATAAAATGCGTCTTTAAATGATAATTTTAGAATAACTAGTGTGGACGTTCTTCCTTAGTATCATCACGTATGAAATGCATAAATATAAAAATTAAAATGCATGGTCATATGCCTTAAAAGACATTAAAGGCAGTTGTTTTCCGGATTGTTAAAAGTCAAGTGGCATTTTGGATGTACTTTAAATACAAGGGTCATTCAAAACATACGTACATGTAACGTCCCCCATTATTTTACTATATTATCTTTACAAGATCAGCTCATTTTCATATGTTAAACATCGATTTTGTCAATGTGTACATGTGAATTTCAATTTATTTGATTACATGGAACTCGTGTTAAAAGTTTCCACCCATTTGATTACAAGGCACTCATGGTACTAAGTTTTAAAAGAAGCATGTTCTATCACCACAGAGCACGCTCAACGTCGAAAACAACGTCGTCGAGAAAGTTTCTTGATTACTCTGCCTTTCTTTTCATTTCACAAAAAGTTTTTAGTGTCTTATCCATTCATATAAATGTACACCTTACACCTACATGTATTTTGTAACAACTTTCCAGTAGTTTGTTGGATTTTCAGTGTTTTTAATTAAGCGTAACACTGCTTTCATAAATTCCGCATCAGTGAAGAAAAAAAAATCACATTTCATAACGTTAATAACTGTTTTGCACGACTGAAAGAAACCCAATCATCAGGCTGTTCAGAACAAAAACAGTTTGCCCCCGATCCTCGATTTCTGGGCTTATTTACATGTATTAACACGTCTTAATATGATGTCATTTTGTGTTTTCTATTCTACGTCATTATCAGAAAAAATTATTTCTCTTTCAGCATCTTCATCCTTAGGTGTGTCATTTTGTACACATAGGGAAACGGTTTTAAATGTAGACAGACACAAACTTATGTAGCACCAAGGTTTATTGATTCATTCGGTCTCTGACATAAACATAACAGAAACTAGTGTTAATTGTTTGTATAACGGGAACCGTTACAGATGTTCCCCAAACGCTCCCCAACTCCCTTTTGTGCATAATTCCCATAAGACTTTTAAAAAAAAAGCTCAATATCGAAGGATTTCATAAAAAAATTAAAAGATACAATGATATCAACTATATGTCATTTAACGCATTGCACGCGCACGCACGTGCATTCACATGCAAGATGAACATGGCATGTTGTCTAAACCATAACATGTAACATATCTTTATATCGTGAGAATCAATTAAAACAAATCATAAATATATAAATGAATATATTGGCCATTTTATGTATTTCGTGCATGCACGTGGTGATGACCATAAACAGCTGAAGACTGCCGATAATCAGCTGATGACTGCACTGGTGTGTCATGTTTGTTAAAAAACTACAGAAAACAACTGCAGGGTTTGTACTCAGTATATTACAATTTAATTAAGATATTAGTTGATTTAAAAAATAATATTTACCTGTGCATCTGTGATTAAATAATGTCAATTTGAAATTAAAATCAAGCATAATTTAACAATGTGAAAAATTTGAAAATTTAATTACAAGAATTATGTGAATTACAAGTTTTTAATTATTTCAATCTTTACTTTTATAACAAGATAGAAGTTCATACTACGTAATTAATCATGAATAGTAATCGGTGTCAATTTTTGAATAATCAGCTTAATATTTTCTAGAAATGGCAGTCATTTTTAAAATATAGTAATTAATATTAAATAACATAATTATTCAATATATTAACTTTTTGCAATAAATATTTATAAACATGAAAATGGGGATAGACGAAGCTGGTATATTCCACAAGTGAGGGATTTGAGTTGATCCTCGTCCAGGTGGGTGAAGTCAGGCAGATTTTCGAAATCTCTTTATTAGGGCATCCCATAATGATATGGTAGAATTTATTTTTGTACAAATTCGATTTTAACTTACTCTCTATCTGTGCATCTGTCCATTTCAAATTCACATCAAAGCGGGGATTATACTAGTGAGCATTAACTAAACTAATGAATGAATGAATTAATTAATTAATCAATGAGCACTGGCTAACAGACATCTTGTTATATACTGTGAACTATACAAGTATATATATATCATTCAAATAAATACTTACTTATTGCAAATGGCACATACAATCTTGTCAATGTCTCCTATGTAAGGTATTTGGCTAGAGGATAGAATGTGCGCTAGATAATGCCATTGCTTGATTCTAGCATTGGCTGATTCCACAACCCACCGTATCTGTGAAATCAAATGATATAAAATACTAGTCTTAAGGTTTTGTTTTCCTCAGTAACTTATTTTAAAATAAAATAAGAGATTCTATTAAGTTTAGCGCAGTATGGGTACATGGAATGCATTTTAAAAACATATATTCAATAAAAGAGTTGATAATTCATGCAGAACATGTACCTTTGTCACCAATCACTGGTGTTAGCATTTTCTTTTGACATTTGTTCGTCTCCTTTGGCTTGGAACGATGGCATTTTGGTTTTGATCCCGAAGTCAAGAATCCCCAAACCCACGATCGACCACAAATATATCCTCCTCATGTACCCAATTTCGAATGTCTTCAATGTTACAGTGCATTATTTGCGTCAATATTGTGGCGTCATTGTTCCTAGCAATGTAGTGGCCTAACGCTGAAATAAAATAACCTGCTGTGGATACAATGATCATTGGTTTCACAAGCGGCCTTCCCTTGTGGAGACTAAAAGATTGGCTCTGGAACTTAAAATGGCCACTTTTGATAATATAAATGTAAGTTCCATCAAGGACACAGCATTGCCAAGAATAGTTTGGGCCAGAGGTCGAAAGTGTTCTTGAATAACCTGTTCTCTGGTGACATATTCAAATCTAAGATTTTCTCTGACAAATCCTCCATTCATCAGTGTTGTCCTAAACTGCTCTGTGTATGCTGGGTTCTGAAATGTTAAACAATGTAGATAGAATTTTGTTAGAATCCCCTCCTTTTAATTTTATTAATAAAATGGCCAAGCTGGTCCTCACTGTTCTGACTGGAGTCAGCTTTTATTATTCCCAGCAGACTTTCGTACTCCTTTGTATTAAGGCTCTCACTGCTGTCAAAAGCCACTCTAGTTTTCTTTTTTTCAGAACTTCCGTCCGCAAAAACTTGATAAGTTTGGAAACTCTAGTTTTGTTAAACATGGTGGTGTCTGTTACAGGATTGAGTTCTTCTCTTATGTTGTCACGTGACCAAAATCCAGGGTGTCAGCACATGTTTTATCTTAAGAGGCAAACATCTTCATTTTGATGACAATAAATTCTTAGCATTCATCAAATGTTGATTTTTTTCACATCGATGAATCTATTTATGAGCAAATGCGGTAAACTGTTTATTTATTTATTTTTTTTGAATTATTTATTTTGCTTCGAAGACTGCCTGAAATAAAATGATTCAACTTTTTCACCTTTGAATATCTTGTGCTTGCCATGCATTAACGCTTTTAACATTGTGACAGAGTTTTTTTTATAACGCTAAATTTTGTTTGCGGCCGATTTGATTCTTATGAATCGTATTTTTGGCGATCTTTCGAGATCCAGACTACTAAAGTATGTCACAAATACAACAGGCAGTTCTCCCTCATACACGTTTTTATTTGGATAAATACATGAGCTATATTTAATTTTATAAACTCCATGTATATTTGATTTTATATCTACATTTTTCGGACATATTTCCATCTTAGTTCACATTTTCTAGGTCATGTAACAATGATAAGTAGAGAAACTGGAAGAATTGTAAATTTTGCCACACGCAACAGATACCGCAGAATATGCCACAGTGCAGACAATGTGAAGAGGACTCATGAACTAATGACTGCCATATAAAAACTGGATGGGGAGTTCCAAAGCTTAGGAGCCAGACAAAGGCATAAAAATCTTGATGAGGATTTGCAAGAAGGGACTGTCATCAGGGACAGTGAAACTATAAAATAGCAAGGCCAAGTACCAACGAAATCGTAGCTTTGAAAAAAGTGATATGAAGCACACACTGATACATGTACATGCAGTTTGTATGATCTGAAAAAAGTGAAAAAGCTATAATGAACTAAATCCCAAGACAATATAATAATAATTCACCTTTCAATGTGTTACAGGTATTGTGTCAGTCAAAATCCACATGACTTATGTGGTATGAGGAAAAATATGGAGGTTTTAAGCAAACATGCATATGTGATCACAGCTTGTGTGGATCTCGGTGTGGGTATTTATCATCACTGACGACGTACAAACCACTTCAGCTGCAATAATACCGCTATCTTTACGTTGGAAGACTCGAAGTATATTTTACATCGATAGTTGACTTTTACATTGTACATGTACATGCTGATCGATTGCAGGGTTTAGGACATACACAGCCCATAAATGGAAGTTTAAATAATACTGTGGCAAGCAAGCTCCAAAATCAACATTCTTTTCTAGCTCAGACAGCAACGACTTTAGAGTGTACAAAAAAATGGGGCATCAGTCTACATAATAAAGATACGAAAATAAGATTTATTCTTGAAGTATTTTCCTCTTTTATATATATTTATTGAAATTATGTTTATCTTTCACATTTATGAATTGTAAAATTGTGAAAATTTACTATAAACTTTTATCGTCTGGCCTTAATTTCAGCATCTTTAGCTTGCCTATCAAAGAGATGCAGTAAATGAATATTTGCTGAGGTTCCCCATTTAAGAACTTAAATTAAAATTGTTGAAGGGATAAATGGCAGAAGCAATCAACATAATCAAATTTTTATCATTAAGCTGAGTAAGCTCTTTCACCCTTACTACTGGGTGCCAAATGCACTCACTAATATCCATATGTAAAGTATCAAAGTCCGGACGTGGAAAGCACTCCTTCGGATAAGACATAAACCAAGCCAGGGTCGGCAGTAAGTGCTATCATAAGTATCCCTCATTACTTATAATGACTCTAGGCATCGAGGTGT